AATACAACAATTCTCAGCAGTTCTGTATTGTGAGTTTGCTTTATTCGAATTTAAACTATAATGAAAGTGATGATTATCGCAGAATAAGGCTGGACAGTTTTGACTATATAGACATTTTATAGCTAGAGCTAGTTAGTTCAGTGGTTTGGACGAAGTTTCATCTCTGTCGCTTTCCAAAGTCGTGAACGCCTGTTGAAGTACCAGTTAATTCCGGTGTTCAAATCCTTGACTCAGTACAAACCATTGAGGTTAGAATGATAGCAATCTTTATACCACCAAGCTCCTTTCTTTAAAACTGCACAGTTAGCAGGACCCCAAATATCATTGTCACTATCCTTGGTGGTGAACGGCATGTCATTGTGAAAAGCAAGAGAATCACTTGCGTTACCTTTAAAATATATTTTTATACGATTTTTTATATCAGATCTGACATCGTCACAGAAAGTGCTTCTGTGCAACCAGTTTGTAGAACAACCTGGAAGAGAATCACAACCAGAGCAATTCTCAACATTGTTAGGTCTTGAAATCAGTTCTCAATCTGTCCACTGAAACCAGCTCGACTAACTCGATCTGATTGAGCACAGAGTCGTGCTCTAAATTTATACAAGAGTTGTGTGCGTGAGTAAATAACTTTGAGGAAATGAACACTATTTTAAACGTTTAGTCTTCGTTTCCTTGATGTCTTTTTTTGGCCCCAACAAAGAAATCATAATATCAATCGTACATAATCGTGAAATAATTGCGTCTCGTTTAAATCTATCGCTCAACATCATGATGTATCAAGATGCCTTGGTTTATCGGCGTGTGTTTTATAGCTTGTACTTTTTTGAAATGTCTGCTAGAGAAAGAACTGGTTCACCATGCTAGCTGGAAAACGTGCTGTGTACAAAAGGAGTGCAGTTAAATATCAAGAAGCGTGAAGAAGTGTTAGTACTTGGTTGAGACAAAGGGCAAGGGCAACTTCTGTACTATGGCCGGATCCAATCATCCAAAGTTGAGAATGTGAAGTTCTTTAATCAAGTTAAGTGGTACAAAACAAATTAGCAACAACAAAATGTCTTCAAAATGTCTTTGTACACCTTGTATATTCTCTATATTGATATCCGGTTCTAGCACAAACACTCCAAGTGTTTTTTTTGCATCTCACTAAACCAATATCATGGTAGAAGGTTTTTCATATTACATGACTAATTTTCATTGTGGCGATAGTTAATAGTTGCAAGCGAACGTTGTTGTATTTTTCGGCTGGCTTATCCCACCAAGAAACCACACACACGCAACATCGCGATCCACAATTCGCTATAAAAATACGTAAAAACATGCATTCTAAACCAGATCTAAAATTATTTGTATGATTCCATATTATCTTGTTGCACTAATATTAGCGGCTAGCTTTGGTTAGCTTGACTTTAGGACACAACATACGCTATATCTGTAGATTTCTACAGGGCAAGTAAATTTTGCTACCCCGGACGCGCGGTATAATGATTCCACTAATGGTGAAAATGAAAATAGTGAATTGTGAATTGTGCAATCAATTTTTGTTAGCGTGCATACACCTGCTTAGTGGTCAGGAAAAACGCATTTATTTAAGTGATGATTCTGGAATGTGAGTGGGGGATAATCTGACTCGTTCCCATGGCCAGTCGCTTTGATGATACGCGAACGAGAAATTATAATGGCCGGGTCGGCATTGTAAACATTTTTTGGCCACCGATCTTTATAACATTAATATATCAGTGTCTTGATAACGGACTGCGATGGAGTCAGCATGTCTCCTAGGAAATTAGGTTTGCTTAGCAATTGCTGAGCATTCTGATATTGTTCAAATGCGATTTCAATAAATAATTTAATTATTTCAAACGTGTAATTTATCTTTTAGATTATGGCCTCATAACTATTGTTAAACGACTCCTTTTATCTTGTCCTTCAAACCTTTTACGAGCAGGTTGGTCGGAGCCATATGCATGGGGAACTGCTCATTTGTTAATATAAGATATAATCAACAAAACGACAAGTTTAGATTCTGCAATTTATATTCTGCGTACCAATTCATCAATTCAATCTATTCAACCGCTGCAATGTGTTTCTACTAGTCAGTCAAGCCGTTATATAATCTACAACTATTGCATGTGCATTTTTGAGCATTTTTGAAGTGTCAACGTTTCCGTTTGGCAACCACGTGCAACCGTAACCTCCCCTTCGAGCATAATATAATTAATTATATCCCGTCTATTTCACTATTACTAAAACATATTATAGTTTGGCAGAACATTAAACCTGATGTTCTTCTTCTAAAGCTCCTCTTTATTTTAAAACTGGTTTTGGGCGAATTTTCATCGTCGTCAGTCTTTTTCATTTCTTTTCTCAAAGTGTTCCATCTTATTTCACTGGCTCCATACCGGCCATTGAGGTTGGAATAATAACAGCTCTTGTACCACCAAGCTCCTTTCTAGGTCGTAGCGCAATCATCCAAAGTTGGGAATGTGAAGTTCTTTAATCAAGTTAAGTGGCACAAAACAAATTAGCAACTACAAAAGAGCCTAGAGGAATCGTTTCTCTGGCCTAAAAATCGAAATCTTAGCGACACTATCCGTGTTAGCCAAGAGACAAGTTTTCACAGCAAAGTGCTTCTGTGCAACCAGTTTGGAGGACAAATTAAAAGTCTCGTTTGCGTTTCCTGCTAGTCTCCTTCAACGTCAGCTTTTAGATATTCTCGTGCGGGCTCACCGATTTTTAAGACATTCGCACAAACGTAAAACAAAACGCTTTTATTCAAGTGGTGATTCTGGAATGTGTGGAAAATAATTGCGTCTCGTTCAAATGTATCACTCATCATCATCGTCTGGAGTCTTTAAAATGTCTTTGTACATCTTGTATATTCTCTGTATTGATATCCGGTTCTAGCACAAATACTCCAAGGTGTTTTTTTGCATCTCACTAAACCAGTATCATGGTAGAAGGTTTTTCATATTACATGACTAAATTTCATTGTGGTAATAATTAATAGTTGCAAGCGAACGTTGTTGTAGCAAAGTGCTTTTGTGCAACCAGTTTGCAGAACAACCTGGAAGAGAATCACAACCAACGCAATTCTCAACATTATTAGGTTTTGAAATCAGTTCTCAATCTGTCCACTGAAACCAGCTCGACTAACTCGATCTGATTGAGCACAGAGTCGTGCTCTAAATTTATACAAGAGTTGTGTGCGTGAGGAAATGAACTTTGAGGAAATGAACACTATTTTAAACGTCTAGTCTGCGTTTCCTGGATGTCTTTTTTTTGCCCCAACAAAGAAATCATAATATTCAATCGTACATAATCGTGAAATAATTGCGTCTCGTTTAAATCTATCGCTCAACATCATGATGTATCAAGATGTCTTTGTTTATCGGCGTATGTTTTATAGCTTGTACTTTTTTGAAAATGTCTGCTAGAGAAAGAACTGGTTGACCATGCTAGCTGGAAAACGTGCTGTGTACAAGAGGAGTGCAGTTGAATACCAAGAAGCGTGAAGAAGTGTTAGTACTTGGTTGAGACAAAGGGCAAGGGCAACTTCTGCATGTACTATGGCCGGATCCAATCATCCAAAGTTGGGAATGTGAAGTTCTTTAATCAAGTTATGTGGCACAAAACAAATTAGCAACAACAAAAGAGCCTAGATGAATCGTATCTCTGGCCCAAAAATCAAAATCTTAGCGACACCATCCGTGTTAGCCAAGAGACAAGTTTTCACAGCAAAGTGCTTCTGTGCAACCAGTTTGGAGAACAAATTAAAAGTCTCGTTTGCGTTTCCTGCTAGTCTCCTTCAACGTCAGCGTTTAGATATTTTCGTGCGAGTTCACCAAATGTATCACTCATCATCATCGTCTGGAATCTTCAAGATGTCTTTGCACATCTTGTATATTCTCTGTATTGACATCCGGTTCTAGCACAAGTACTCCAACATGTTTTTTTGCATCTCACTAAACCAATGTCATGGTAGAAGGTTTTTCATATTACATGACTAAATTTCATTGTGGTGATAGTTAATAGTTGCAAGCGAACGTTGTTGTATTTTCCGGCTGGCGTATCCCACCAAGAAACCACACACACCGGAACTTCGCAATCCACAATTCGCTATAAAAATACGTAAAAATATGCATTCTAAACCAGATCTAAAATTATTTGTATAATTCCACATTATCTTGTTGCACTTATAATAGCGGCTTGCTTCGGTTAGCTTAATTGTAGGACACAACATAGGCTATATATAAATTTCTACAGGGCACATATATTTTGCTACCCCTGACGCGCGGTATAATGGGATATAGTGAAAATAGTGAATTGCGTAATCAATTTTATGTTAAGATGCATACCTGCTCAGTACTCACTACTCAGCAACAAAACGCATTTATTCAAGTGATGATATCATCTGGAATGCGAGTGGGATAATCTGACTCGTCCCCAGTCGCTTTGATGTTACGTGAACGAGTAATTATAATAGCCGCGATTATCCTGGCCAGCGATTGTTAAATATCATTAATATGTGTCTTGTCAAGGGAGTGCGAAGGAGTCAGCATATCTCCTAGTAGGGAATTAGGTTCGCTTGGCTATTTCAATGAACAGTTTCAACTCCTTTATGTTCTCTTTTAAACCTTTTACGAGCAGGATCGTCGGAGCCGTATGCATGGGAACAGCTCATATGTTATAAGACATAATCAGCACAACGACAAGTTTAGATTCCTGAATTTATATTCTGCGTACTAAGTCATTAACAATCTATTCAACATCTGCAATCTCATTCTACTAGTCAGTCAACTCGTTATATAATTTACAACTGTAGTGCATTATTGTGCATTTTCCATTGTTCATTGTGCAAAGTGTCAACGTTTCCGTTTGGCAACCACGTGCAACCGTAACCCCCCCTTCGTGCATAAAATAATTAATTATATCCCGTCTATGACACTATTACTAAAACATATTATAGTTTGGTAGAAACATTAAACCTGAAATTCTTCTCCTAAAGCTCCTCTTTATTTTAAAACTGGTTTGGACGAATTTTCATCGTCGTCTTTTTCATTTCTTTTCTCAAAGTGTTCCATCTTATTCCATTGGCTCCATACCGGCCATAATTGAGGTTGGAATGCCAACAGCTCTTGTACCACCAAGCTCCTTTCCAGGTCGTAGCACAATTCCGATACCAAGCATCATTGTCGCTATCCTTGGTAGAGAACTTCATTTGATTGTGATAAGACAGGGCATCACCTGCGGTACCTTTATAGAAAATAATAAAAACTTCCTCAGTGAATAACATTTAAAGCAAAAAATCTTCTTTACGAACACCAACTTCTCATTGTTTTTGCTATAGAGAACCTCGTTCTGGCGAAGCCATGAATAAATAATATACGAAATTCAGGATTTTTTTCTGAATCTCACTCCATTTTTATCAAGGTGGGAAGTTAAATCGATGGAAATAATCTTTATTAAAGATCGAGCAAGGACGAGGTCAGTCGGGTTTCCTTTTTAAATAATCTCATGTTTTCATCCATGTTATGCAATAATCTAATAATCTAATAATAATCTAATAATCTAATGCTATAACTGTAAACTTTAATACCAGAATTATTAACGCTATTTAACCTGAGTAACTAACACAAACCCTATCCCTGTACTAATGCTATCATAATGGGGTAACAGGAGGTTTTATTTCATCCAGAGTCGTTGTAGGACTAGTCACGTCGTAAATTTAAACTTTATTAAAAAAATAATTTCTTTCATAACTATTTTCACTAAATCTTTCAATCTTACACGTTGCCGCAAACCTACTGTTTTTCCTCCTGACAAATTTACCGGCAGTAAAACTTTATTCCAGTTGTTATTTTATCCCAAACTTATTACACTTAATACACATTTGCTACCCCGGACGCAAGGACTTATGGGATATACTGAAAATAATTAATTATATATTTAATTTTTATTGAAAACAAAGAGATTCGTCCCGTCTCCGAGCGTCGCGTGTATGTACATGTAGCGTACGCCTAAGATCCTGCAAGACACAGTCACAGCACGGCTTCCAGCCCCAGTCTGATTTATTTATATCAATTTCTTTCTTATATTACATTCCATCAATTACGTATCATAATCACTTAATCATCATGTTCCTCTAGCAAATTCTATTTACATGATTAGCTATATTTATTGCGACATGCATTAATTACGCAATCATTTTGATCGCGCGTCACATACAGATAAGTTCAACAGCTGAGAGTCTAATTTTAGGCAGAGCGTACATGTGGCTTACCTGAATATTTGCCAATAGTCAATCTGTATTTGTGCGATTCATCAGTCACACTAAACGTTCCATATTGAGCGTAACGTTTAGCGTTATTTAAATCCATCAAATTAACTCTCAATACATTTTGACCAGATTTGGACAAACGATGTATTTTATCAAGGCCCAACCAGAACTCGCGGTTAAGATCACCAAAGCCTGCTTTATAGTCTGACCATCCAAGGTAGAAATCTTGACTTCCATCTTGTCTTCTTTGGAACACGGTCCAGCCACCCCCGTCTGTGCTCATATCACATCTGACTTTGAAAGATCCCTGGCCATCAGGATCAATGGTATACACACCATCTTTTCTTACTCCAGATTTATAAAGATCAGCACAACTTTTTCTTGTAACTATAAATATATATAGATATATAGATATATGGATATATAGATGCACAGATGTATGTGTAGCGGTTAGATTGACTCAGTCACAAATAGAATTGAAGTCGCGTGGATTGTCCAATGGGACAAACAACGGTCGGCTTCTATATATCAATTAAATTTAAATAAGTCCGGTTGATCTTCAAATCGTAGCAAAACTAAACAGAATCGCAACGTTACCGTTGTTACACAGTATTTTGAGCGCCAGTTTATGCTTTTCAATTTCCCGTTCTATGACACCACAGCATGATTCAAGCTTTGGATCTTTTTTTGAACACAATAAGTTGTAAGCGAGGGTACGATTTTTTATATCAGATCTGATTTCATCACAGCAAAGTGCTTCTGTGCAACCAGTTTGCAGAACAACCTGGAACAGAATCACAACCAAAGCAATTCTCAACATTGTTAGGTCTCGAAGTTCTCAATTATCTATCCGCGTCCACTGAGTAGATACCAACTCGACTGACTCGATCTGATTGAGAACAGAATCAAGTTCTGGTCAATTTATACCCAAGCTGTGTGCGTGAGGAAATGAACTTTGGTCTCCTTTGACTTTTCTCTTCCTTTAAAAGTCTCATTTGCGTTTTTCTGGACGTTTCGTGAAAGTATGAACTATAAATCTAACGAAGAATTAAGTCATTATGTTGCAATTAATTAATTGCGCGCTGTGTTCTACCTTAAACGGGTACAGGCACATTGCTTTCAGCATTTTAAGAATTTTCTTCCGTGTGGGCTTAACCGTTATTAACTTTCGGACAAATAAAGGCATCACGCAAACGTACAAAATGCCTTCATTAAAGCCCCGTACATGACATAGACGGACAAATTTTCCTTGACAAGTTTTCCTTGCGAAGTTTTATTTGCTCGACAAGGAGCTTTTCCTTGACAAGGAGCCTTGTTCAAAAGCCAGTCATGCCAGCTTCTCAAAAAGGAAAAATTCTCGTGTGTATAATGGCTCATATTATAGTAAAATTACTAAAATATGCTCATACTATCGTAAAACTTGTCTTCTGCGTACACACTACACGCGAGCAAATAAAACTTGGCAAGGGAAACTTGTCAACGAAAACTTGTTCGTCATACACACCAGCAACTGAACTGGTCAAGAAAACTTGCTAAGGAAAACTTTCTCGTCTGTACTATGCTTAAGACGTTGTTCGAAGCGAAACATATTTGCTTGACGTGTCAAAAGAGAAAACTGTTTGCGTAGTAAAATATAAGAAAAAATATTAATGATTTTATCAGAGGTTACCATGCAACTTTCAGAAATCAGTACACTTACTACGCGGGGTGCTATATATCAATAGACAAAGATATCTTCAGGTGTTTTATGATTCCAGATTATCAAGTTTCAAGCGTCACATCATTTCCAAAACGAGTTCTATACATGTCTATTTTTGGCTGAAACGTCGGCATGTCGCCAGATTTTTTATTGAATCTTTATATACACAATTACGACATTAGGATTGGAAAAATATTCACAACAAAAAGAATAGCCTCTTGTGTTTTAAAATAGCCTCTTGTGTCTCAAAAAGAATAGCCTCTAGTGTTTTAAAAGAGATAAACACACGGTTTCCAGTGTCAAACATTCTGGAAAAATATATATCCGCCATCTTTCGTTGAATTATTGAATAATATATTATGAATTATTGAATATATTTCGAGCTGTTTACAAATAGAAATCAACACAGTTCATGCAGTTTATTTTTCCACTGGAGACAGCAACGAAAGGGAAAACTACCGCACTATATGACTGTTTTAACAATTATGAATACTAATTCTATTTTGCCCGTAGACTTTCTTGTCTATAAAGGAAAATTGCCCTGTATAACCAGGTTTACAGGTGCATGTATAGTGGTTAGAGTGCCTGACACAAACAGCATTGAAGTGAAATGAGTGAATGGCTTCGACAAACAAGGGTCCCGTTCGCACTCTTACAGTTTTGGGTATTGTTATCCACTGAATAAAGTTGTTAAAACAAAATATAAATCAGTAGAGCAATTCTTAACATTTTAGGTCTCAAAATTCTCAATTATCTGTCCAAGTAGAAACCAACTCTATATGAACTCTATCTGATTGAGAACATGCAGAATCAAGCTCTGGTCAATTACACCGAAGCTGTGTGCGTGACGAAATAAACTTTGATGTCATTTGACTCTCCTCTTCCAAAACTAGTTTGCGTTTTCTGGATGTTTCCTGAAAGTATGAATTATGAACCTAAACTAAATTAAAGTGATTATATTCTGTCGTGCATTGCATGTCGCGTGCTTCCTTAAACGGGTACAGGCATATTGCTTTCAGAATTTAAAGAATTTTCTTCGGTGTGGTGTTACCTGTTATTAACGCTTTTATCAGTTTTATGCAAGTGATGATTCTGGAATTGAGAGGGATAATTGCGTCTGATTAAAATGTATCGTTATCATCATCATCATCATTATCTGGAGTCTGAAAAATGTCTGTCTGTTGATCACGTTAGATAGAAAACGTACAGTTGAGGACCATATTCGGGAAGCGTGAAGAAGGGTCGGTATTTGAGACGAAGGGTAAATGCAAACATAGGTAGTATAAGCGGGATCCAAAGTTGAGAAAATAAATGAGAATTTAATCAAGTTATAAGCAGTCACGTACGAGTATGTCCTCCCCAATTAATGAGTTTAGGCCCGTTTCAGACGTCGAATTTTTCATGTGCCGAACGTAATGTTGATGAGCTAAAGTCTTTGTTTAAGTTCATTTGCATTCGATTTGGCACATGAAAAGTAAGATGCACCAAATCTACGACGCGGACGTGAAGTAATACTACCACAACTTTTCGTTTGTGAAAATCATCATCCGTTCAATTCAGCCTTTATCTTAAAGTCTCATTACGCTACGCACCAATTTTCTATCAACATTCACTTTCATTGCTTGGATATTGATAGTTGTTTACATTTACATTTTACATTTCATATTTACATGTTACATTTTACTCGTGATGGGTAGCATTTGGTGAAAAAAGAACTGAATACAGTAAAAAGGAAATCTAAATGTATATTCGCGCGTTTAACTGAAAATTTTAATACGAATCGATGCTTCATTGTATAAATTACTGTTCTTCAAATCTTGAGTACAGAATTTCGAGCTGGTATCGCCCAATCTTCCGACCACGGACAAGCAAAATTTTTTAGGCCAGTATGCGTGCCATTGATGAATATTTATAACTTGTTTTCATCTCAAGTACTGACACTTCCTTCAAGCTTCTTTGCACACGTACGTCTTCTAATTTCTGGTTAGCATGGTCAAACCAGTTCATTTACAAGCTGATAATTTCAAAAAATATAAGCTAAGGACCTGTTCATATGAGACGGGCCAGCCTCAGCGTCACAGAGGGGTATTTCACAAAAAAATTATCTGTGCTATTTACTGTTCATCTTTGCTGTTGTAAAATTTCATGAGAGTGCTTATTCTTTTTGTTGTCATTTTGCCAATCCTAATGTCGTAATTGTGGATTTATAAATTCAATAAAAAATCTGGCGACGCAAAAAAGCTGGCGTTTCAGCAAAAAAATGTCAGACATGCAGAACTCTTTTCGCTGATACTGATCAACATGTGTTAGAAGAAACTACTGAAAAGCGTATATTATGTTTGCCCTGTAGAGAAATGATAGTGTATGTCGTGTCCTACTATAAAGCTAGCCAAACCTGGCAGCTATAATAAGTACAATCAGATAATCTGGAATCATAAAACACCTGAAGATATCTTTGTCTATTGATATATAGCACCCCGGGTAGTAAGTGTTCTGATTTCTGAAAGTTGATAAGCTTTGATAATCATTAATTTTTTTTTCTTATATATTTTACTACGCAAACAGCTTTCTTTTTAATTTTTAATTTTTTAGCGCGTTCAAATATGCTTCACTTCGAACTTCTGGTAATCAACGTCTTAATGTCATCGATATCGCCCGTCTCTTCCTAGTTCCTACTGAGTATAAACGTCGGTAGATTTCAATCTTACATTCTCATTATTATCTCATTATTGTTCATAATACTTCAAATTCCTAAGCAGCATCAAAATTTAGACACATGCATATAACTTCAGTATGGATTTCGAGGCAACCTTTTTACAAAAAGAGCCTGGCTTGCGAGGTTGCCTTTTTACACTGTAAAATTTACTATATCGTTGTACCCTTTATACATTTTACATGAAGTATCACGAGTTGTGTTTCCAATATGGCGTCCGGAACCCAGTTTGGTAAATGCTTTTTCGCTGAGTTAAGGGGTTTCTTCAAAAGCCAGGAAATGCCGAAGACGATTTGTAGAAGGAGGTAAAGAAATGGATCTCAAATATCAAAGACGTGTAACTCTTTTCAAAAGCGGTGATCCAAAAATTGCTAAGGTGTCGTATATATTTTAAACTGATTATATACAGTATATTCAAACAATGGGGCAATTACCGTTATTATATAAATCGTAGTGTTATTATCGTACTTGAGATTAGCCTCATTTCACACATATTTCTAACGAGTGGGCGTGTTCTGATTTGAAATCAGATCTACATTTTATGCATTGCAAAGAAATAGTCACAAATGTGAATTATGAGCAATTCGTTTCTTATTTTTTCGAGTGGCCTTTGAATCACATATTTATTTGCATACTTTGTTGAATGCTTCTCCTTAAATGTAGTGCTGTTATGACAGTTATGAAACCAATATCCAAAAGCAACTGCAGTGAATTCATAGGCAAAAACCTGCGCAACAATACATTAGGTTACATGTTTAATACGAAAATAGTTTGTTCAATTATTAAGGTTCTCCGATAATCCATCTTTGCTGATCCAATTCACTTCAGATGCATGGAATGTAGTCTCTTATTGACAAAGCTGTACTCCCATTGGCTTTAGATTTTGTATATATATATATATATATATATATATATATATATATATATATATATATAATTATATATATATATATATATATGTATGTATTGCAAGTCAACTGACTATAATTAAACATCCATCAGAATGGAATTGGCTCCAATAAAATTGGATTATGGGAACAGACCTTTGTGTGACTGTTACTTTACGTAGGTGGTAAATGTCCCAGATAGTATTGCTGAGTTGTGTATGATTGCTCAGCAACAGCTCAATATCAGTGACTGTAAACTTTTCACCAATAAAGGAGCGATCATTGACAATCTTGGGCTTGTGAGGTAAGAAAACAGGTTTAAACTTGTCTTTGAAAAGTGAGCCAGTAAATTGTTGTTTCTGATGCCTTATTAAATTAATGTCCTATTTTTGTTTATTTAGAGATGATGATGTTATATATGTCTCAGGTGGAGAATATTATAATGGTAAGGTGAAGGTTCTAGGATATCTAGGTTCTACAATATTTAGGAATAAAGCCTGGCTCACTTCATGAGTAAAAATGCTAGTGTTTGACATTGCATGCATCCTTGCAAGCAGTTAATTATCAACATGCAACACCCCATTTCCTAGATTCCTCCGAGGACTGGATTACGCTTAACGTTGGGGGAAGGCGTTTCACCACAACAAGGTACATAGGAATGGCCTAACTTATACATATGACTTGCAAACATTCTATATTTGCGTAGGTAAATGTAGTTCATTTTTTACTATAGTTAGTAACAGTGGCCAATCACTATTGTGTATCTTGGAGTTATGATTTAACTGCCGAAAATGTAGCTGAGAGTTTCACACAGCTGGATCCATGTATTATGCCAGTGCTGCATTCATACAAATAGTTTTAGTTGTCTTTTTTTCTTTTAGAGCAACATTGGTTGCTAGTGATCCAGAGAGCATGCTAGCGAGGATGTTTTCATCACAAAGTAAGTTGGTTGCATGTGAACATCATGTACTTTTGAAACTTTTTTGTCCATATCAGGCAGTTGTTGTTGTACCACATTTGATGAACAGTTACAAAGATGATGCTACGTTGCTCCATGGTCATATTGAAATGATACCCTGTCTGTTTAGATTCGTGGAAGAGTGCAAGAGACCACACAGGAGCCTATCTGATTGATCGTAGCCCTGACTATTTTGCTCCATTACTGAACTACCTTCGTCATGGTAAACTGATTTTGAATGAGGGTGTTAACCCAACTGGTGTTCTGGAAGAGGCCAAGTTTTTTGGATTAACCGGTGTTGCTGAACAGCTTGAAGATATCATTAAGGTAAGATGTTAAGACTTAAGAGTGGTTTTCACTTCAAACCTCACTTCATAAGTCATAACAGTCCAATCCCCAAAAAATCAAGGTTTGTGTACGTATTTCGCTTCTTTCTTAAAGACCTAGGTAGATTACCTATGCACAGGTAATATGATTGATTAATGGTGCAGTACCCTAGCTCTTTCCGTTGTTTGGAGTAGTGGCCTTGTGTTTGTTGACAGTTGATGAGATGTAACTTGCTTCAAGTTGACAACAATTCTTGAATGCCCTTAAAGTTAAAGTTGTCAAGCTAGTTAAATTTGTAATCCATAATCTGCAAAACTGTTGCCAGGATTTGGATAAGGATGAGGACAAACCCATAACAAGACAAGAATTCGTCAGAATATTGTTATCAACACCGTCCAACTGCGAACTCCGTTGCCAGGTATTAAAACAAAGAGCAGCGATGAATCGTTTAGGATGTCTTATTTCAGATTTTGTGGTGTGCTTATTTACTGTGTGAACGCATGTGATACAGTTGAACATTTGTTTTTAGGGAATCAATCTCGAAGGCGCTGACCTGTCCCGCCTGGACCTACGATATATCAATTTCAAAATGGCCAACTTGCGGAGAGCCGACTTATCTGGTGCCAACCTTTCAAACTGCTGTTTCGAGCGCTCGTGTTTGTCTGAAGCTCATATTGACGTACGAATTGTATTTTTGTACATACCTGCTAGAAAATTAGGCTAACTTGCTAAGCACGGTTAGGTCCAGAGCTTGAATACCGGTAGTATACTTTAGCTGCGATTATTTACTAAGAGATTCGTACGATTCAAAAATGCAATGGTTTGCATATCTCATTCGTTCATTAACAATAATCAAAAGCCGAGAATTACAACTAAAGTCGTAGCTAAAACGAGTTTTGTTCGGTGAGTTATTCCGTCGTCTGAATCCCGCGATTTGTTCTGTCGCGTTCGTAGAAATGCGCCCTACAAGGAGTAAACTGCAACCTGGCTTTATTGAAATGGTTACGTTTTTGTTCACAGGGTGCCTCCTTAAGCGGTGTCCGTATGCAACGAGCCAGTTTGGAAGGGGCTTCACTCAGAGCATGTAATTTTGAAGATCCGACTGGAGTCAAGAGTGCGAACTTAGAAGGTAATCCAGTTTATAAGGGGGGAACTTAGGCCAGTTAGGGGGTACTATAGTTGATAAGGAGGGAACTTAGAAGTACTGTAGTTGATAAGAAGGGAACGTAGAAGTACTGTAGTTAATAAGGAGGGAACTTAAAAGGTACTGAACGCCATCCTTGTAGGTGTAAACATGAAAGGTTGCGATCTCGCTGCGAGTCAATTGTCCGGGGTGAATCTTCGTGTTGCCAGGATGAAAGGCGCCAACCTGCAAAACTGCAACCTTCGCGGAGCAATATTGGCCGGTGCTGATCTCGAGGTAAATGTTTACAAACTGTAATGCGGCGATTTAAGACAAAGCCTTAAGCTTACCGATACACGCATCAGTTCTTAAATTTGATCCTTAGCTACCAGCTATTCGTGTCTTGAGTACTTGCGTTTGTGTTTATTTTTTTGTAAGAACTGTAACATGTCGGGTTGTGATCTTCAAGATGCTAACGTGCGTGGTGCGAACATCGTGGGATTGTCGCTGGAGGAGATGCAGTCTCCACTTCACATGTCCCTGTGGGTGCACACCCAGTCGGGACGAAACGACCACGATGAACATTTGGATCTAAACATGGCCGATCCAATCAGGATTGATGCTGGTATACCTTGAGTTTCCCGAGAGTATTGAGTCTTATTGTGTGTTGATCCTCTCTTCAAACGATGCTTGGCGTTTGGCGTCCGGGATAAATGTGCCCTTGCTACCCGTTGGGGGGGGGTGGGTTATGGGAGGGCACACCTCTAGAAATCTCGCTCGCAAATTCAGCTGGTAGATTTCACCTTCTTAGTTAAAAGACAGGAACTCAAGTTTTTTATCTTTGAAAGTAATGTCCGATTGAAAAAAGAAATGGAAGTCAGTGAGTAATCAAAACATTGGTCGGTAAAACATCGGTGAATGTATCATTTTAAATAGAGTTCTTGCTTTTCCTAACAACGAGTGACATTCTAATTCATTTTGCAATGAAAGCGATCCTTGTGTTGGCTAGAATCTATAGTGGTTTTAACCATATGGTCGGTTTTTCGGACGGTATTCATGACTCTGTATTACACACTGTAACTCCGGTGTTTACCTTGCATAATTAATCTTTTATGTTTGAGTATAGTTTTAATTCCGAGCCCGGCGAGCCGAGTTATAGTTATTCATTTATAATATGTTTATTTTACCTGCTGATATTCTAGCCGTTTGCACAATGTACAGAGTCCGTATTTCTCTTGTTGTGAAATTATTTTTTCATTACTCGGCGAGTTTATATCAATAAAAGTAAATGCTTTTTAATTACTTTTTCTACACAAATTGTAAATACGAGATGGCGCAATCTTTTCAATCCAATTGAGGCGGATTAATGTAAATGGGGCTTGATGGAATTGTTATTGGTTTTTTCAATCTCAGGACGCAACAGTTACTTAGTTTAATGAAACATTAATTGCTAAGTTTAAAAAAAGACCACACGTACTTGGGGTTTTATGATGCGGTTGACATGCAAGGATTTCACATCTGATGTTGATGTTCAAATAAGCACAACGTTTTAGCCCGGTTTCTGTGTTGGAAATAGACCTTTTTCATAATGACGTCAAACGCGGAAAGTGTGATGCTACACGAAGTTTGATTTGCTCGATAGTTTTGTGGAGCCAATCAAATTTCGTGTAACATCAGACTCTCCGCGTTTGACGTCATTATAAGAAAGGTCTATTGGTTACTTAATGGTACGTTTGTTAGCTTCAACTTTAACAAGAATTTGATGGAAATATATGGCGAAACTAAAAAAATTATCAATACTGGGCTATTTTATTCTGATTCTTTGTGTACGCATTCAACAATGTCAAATTCCAACTGTGATTAAAGAAAGATACTTTGATGATGAATAAACCGGCCGGCCCTCAACTTTTAACAAACTTAAACTGAACTTATGCTTTCACATTCAATCTTTCGGATCTTACCGCTTACAATTAAAGGCTGCTTGTTTGAGCTTGCCTGAAATAAGTCCAATCGTTTCCCAGTTCAATATTTGAATAGTTGTGTGTGAAAATAATCGGTCGGTCATTATTTTATACAAATTAACGTTTCCTCTGTCGCAGGCAATCATTCTTAAGCTAAATAAACCGAGGATATTATTTATCCTTGGTACATATGAGACGTCTTCATCTCGTTTTGTTCAATAAGTTTTTCGATTTCAAGATGTTTGTTCAAAATTTGCATCAAGTCCAAGGTGTTTTAGCCAACAGAGGAAAGATTGCTTGATCATTTGAAGCGACCTTCAAACGTTGAAGCATCGGGAAAGCTCCAGAGGCGAAACTATGTTCAAGATAATTGCTTTTGTCGGAATTCTCTTCGTTCCACAAATCAGTATCACAAGAGCACAATCTTGCGATAAAGTTAAACAAGACCTTGCATCCTGCTGTAATGTCCTAAAGCAAAATCGTGCTTTGCACGGACGTGCCTACGACAAAGTTTGTCGCAACGAGGGTAAAACTAATCTTTGTACTTTTTTGTTTATTTCTGTCTGTTCTGCACCAGATGTGCAGTTGCTGCAGAGATATTACTCGTTTGTGTAAGAAAAGGTATCGAAGAACTCTGTCGAGATACTGTACTGAGTTCTTTTCATTTTTATTCCGCCTGTAATTATAGTGAAAAGCTGTTATGATCTCTATCTGTCTGGAGTCAAAAACGATGGTGTTTATACCATCGATCCTGATGGCCTGGGTTCGTTCAAAGTGAGTTGTGATATGAGCAAAGACGGGGGTGGCTGGACCGTGTTCCAAAGAAGACAAGATGGAAGTCAAGATTTCTACCTTGGATGGTCAGACTATAAAGCTGGCTTTGGTGATCTTAACGGCGAGTTCTGGTTGGGCCTTGATAAAATACACCGTTTAACCAAATCTGGCCAAAATGTTCTAAGAGTTGATTTAATGGATTTCAATGGCGATAAACGATACGCTAAATATGGAAAGTTTAGTGTGGCTGATGAATCAAACAAATACAGATTGAACATTGGAAGTTATTCAGGTAATATTGAATTTAAAACCCAAAGATTGTAAAAATGGTATCAATATTGATTTTATCGCTTGAGTTTGACTTGAGTTTTGCTTTGTGTTTTTTCTCAAAAGGCAACGCGGATGACTCTCTTAAATATCAAAACGGAACGCAATTTACTACCAGGGACAAAGACAACGACGGCGGCACCGCCAACTGCGCAAAACGATGGACTGGTGGTTGGTGGTACGCTAACTGTGCACATAGTAACCTAAACGGCCTTTATCTGGGAAAGGGGAAAAACCATTACAGCGGAGTTCACTGGCGCGGATGGAAAATGGATTCCCTCAAGAACGTCGATATGAAAATGCGACCCAGCCTGTTGTGAAGGAATCGTGTATGATTGACATATAAACATTGTTAGCTACATTCGTTCAACATATTAATTGATCTTTCATATAGGTTACATAATATGTAGATTATAAATGTCTCATCCAGTTTTACCGTTCATTTAGTTATCTCTAAATAAAGGAAATCTCAAAGAAAATCTGGTAAATAGTGTTGTGTGTATCACCTTAAAAGTCTCACCCTCACCGCGAAGGTGAGGCAAGGACTGAAGATGGCTTTGAAATAAAGTCATAAATCTACAGGCGATTTTAGCAATGCTAAATTCAAACTATGAACATATATAAAACGTTGACAGTGTAAAAAATAGGGTTGTAAAAAAAAATTAACTAGGATTCAACTATTCAAAATGTAGTTGAAGGGTTTTATACAACCGGGCCCGCCTTGACCTTTATCTTCCCGCTATAACAATTATATGGGCTGCCTGTTTAGGCTTGTCTCTGTAAAAACTGCAATCAATGCCTAAATCAATATTTGAATAGTTGTGTGTTAGATAACTCGGGTGGTCATTAATTCATTACAAATTTGCGTTGTCACTGTCGCTGGTAATTATTATATATATAGCTAAATAGACCAAATGCGGTATTTATATATTATGTTAATCGTACATGGGCCGTCCTTTTTGTGAGCTCGGTTTTTTTACTCTGAATATGTTTGCTTAAAATTTGCATGACAAATTCTGTCAGTTTATATCGGTGAAATTGAATCTTTTTAATTAATGTTTTCTGTTTCGCGACCAAGTTTTTATTATATAACCTACGGAAATATGACATGCAAAATCAGTTGAAGCTGCCTCCAAACGTCAAAACATCGTGAAATCATCAGAAACGGAACAATGTTCAAACTAAGTGCTATCGTTGGCATTCTGTCCGTTTTCCAAATCAGTATTGCGAGAGCACGTTGTTGCGATGAAATGAAAGCTGGTATTAAAAAGCGCACTCTTGCCTATAATATGCTGTGTGAGAACGACGATCAAGATCTGGCCAAATGCTGTGGTTTCATAAAAGAATATATTGTCCAGCAGCAAATTGCTTACAACAAACTATGTCGAAATCACGGTAAAACCTCGTACTTTTTTGTGCCCTTTCGTTCAGTTGCACTGACTTTGTCGTTGCTATGGACGTTTGACACGTTTGTGCAGAAAATTTGTCACATACAGGCCTGAAGTTCTTCGTGAACAGGGGATTAAGTAAACCTGCCCCACCTTGCATCCATTTAAATCCAGGCCACGATTAACGTGGATCAACGGGTCAGACCGTTGCATTAAACGTTTTACTCTTATATAGACGCATGATCGAGTAAAATTTAGATAGACCAAAATTGGGATTCGTCATATAAACACGATATTGCAGTACTTGGTTGCCACTTAGAAACGTTGCTGTTGTTATAGCAACGGTTGTTGTTGCTATAGCAAATGTTACCCAAATGATACATTAAATTCGAGTCTTCTGTCCAAACATTCAGATGCCTAGTATTCGTGTTAAAATGTACATTTTAGCAATTTCATGAAACTATAGTGAGCCACCTTAACAGCGAATGAAGATGAAACCAGCGAATCTGGTATAAGGCAATCTCAAACAATGGTTGACAATTATTTTCAGTACAGACTTGTTTTAAAGATTTACTTTTAGGCGCATCAGTTGGAGTCTCTTGAGTGTTCAATGTCCCTTCTTTTTTCCTGTAGTCATTCAAAAAAGCTGTTATGATCTCTATCTGTCTGGAGTCAAAGAAGATGGTGTTTATACCATTGATCCTGATGGCCTGGGTTCGTTCAAAGTCAGTTGTGATATGAGCAAAGACGGGGGTGGCTGGACCGTGTTCCAAAGAAGACAAGATGGAAGTCAAGATTTCACCCGTAAATGGTCAGACTATAAAGCAGGCTTTGGTGATCTTAACGGCGAGTTCTGGCTGGGTTTGGACAAAATACATCGTTTGACCAAATCTGGTCAAAATGTTTTAAGAGTTGATTTGAAGGATTTCAATGGCGATGAACGATACGCTAAATATGGAACGTTTAGTGTGGCAGATGAATCAGACAAATACAAATTGAAAATTGAAGGTTATTCAGGTAATATATTTATAGGCAAAGTTTGTTGTAAATACCGCCGGTAAAGGATTGCAAGAATAAGGTTCTTTTGTTTTCTTCCAAAAGGTGATGCGGGGAATTCTTTTCGTTTTGAAAACGGTCAGAAATTCACTACGATAGATAATGACAACGACAGGGGTTCGGCCAATTGCGCAAAAAACTGGAAAGGTGGTTGGTGGTACCGTAACTGTGCATACAGTAATTTAAACGGCCTTTATCTTGGAAAGGGGAAAAAGCAGTACAGTGGAATTCACTGGCGCGATTGGGAATCGAAGAATATCAAGTTTGCAGGCATAAAAATGCTCAAGAATGTTGACATGAAAATGCGGCCCAGCGGCCCGAAATCGTAGGCATAATTTAGCATTTTGTTTTATATTATTGCATTTTTGATTAATATTCATCATAAGTACCAATTGATCATAAGTTATACCTAAGATATCCTAAATATCCTATCCAGTTTTACCGTAATTAAAAAGGAAATGAACAAAGTTATACGGCTATTGTGAATTAATCCCGTTTTATATAAATTACCTTGAAGGGGTCCATTCCGCCGCGCGCAAAATTCCGCCTAGTGGAAAACAGGCTTAAAAGTTAAAACCCCGTACAGACGGGCAAGTTTTCCTTGCCAAGTTTTATTTATAAAATAGGCTTAATGTTCACACTTTCCCAAGAATCTGAAATTTTATCTTTGCCGGAGGCCAATAGAGCGCAAAATACTTTGTCCACCGCAAAAAAAATACAATGGATCCCCGATTCTTTGGAGGCAGTGCATTCGAACAAGACCTTAAATTGTTTTCAACGTGCACAAATTTTGAAAGAGACGATGCCATTGGACGATTTGATCATTAAAAAAAGACATTATGCAAAATAATCAATTGTCTTAAACGAGCCAAATTTTGCATAAACATAAACAAAAGGATAGAACAAAGGCTTTACTCTTTTGTCGAGGTTTCATGGCCATATTTCATATATTACCACTTATCCCTCTACACAGTGTATTTGAACAGTGCTTTAAAGCTTTTGGACAAGTGAATGGATCAGTCTAACATGATTGTTTTTGACAAGATTAGATTATAAATTTCTGTGTTCACATCGTTGAATCAGTAAAGGTAAGGAGCGATGATTGTGATTATGACCAGAGCGTTTAATCCAATGCTAACGTTTAGTGTAGCTTGAGCAGCATTGCCACTAACTTTCCCTGTTTTGACAAATTCAACAATCTTAGTGCATCCTTTCTTTAAACGCCTTTTGATCGGTTCCAGCAGAGTTGAAAGCTTTGAATACTTGTCGGGGATTTTGTTTATACTGTCGAGTAAAAAAAAAACGTTTCATATAAGCCCAGGACACGCAAAGTCTTTGGCTGATGTAAGGACCTAAAGGCCAGTCCTTAAAGTCCTTAAATCAGCCTGTGAACTATTCGCACAAGACTTGAAGCATGACTTCCCTTACGACGTGACTCGGAATTCCTGACAAAATAACTATTCAGTATTCACTGTCTAAGGTAATCGCTCAGCGACAGCGAGGTGTTTAACTCAAAATATAGCTGCTCTCGTGTGCGGTCACTAAATTTAAACGAGGATAATATTTGCGAACTGAACACAATTTTTGTGTATAAATTTAGGTTCGTAAAGATATAACTCGTATATAAAGGTTAACTAGTAAAGATATTGCCAAAGGATTGAAGGTATGAATGTTATTACTTCTTAATTTTAAAATTATATCCAAGTTTAGGACAGAAATATGGCTGGGGTTGATAAAAGTTTCTGTGGGGCGTACACAGTGGGTTAAATCGTTGAATACGCAACCGGCTGGAAGTATTTCCCAGTCTTGGGCCGGTTGTTCAAAAGCTGGCTAGCTTAACTCTGGCTTAGAATTTAACCCAAGGTTAGCGCTAACCTAGCTTTGAAGTTTGAACAACTGGCCACTGGAGCAAATATGTTAATATGCACTTGTGTGTGCAGTAATACGATAGTCACCCTGGGTGTCTAAAAAAAACGCAACCACATAAATATGCAAGAATATATTATTAATACTGTTCGGGTTTGCACCATAGCTCAGCTAAAACTACGTTTAGCATTTCAAATGAAGGATTAAGAGATTTCAATTCCCAGAGGTGCTTATCTATTGGGCTTTAGAGCTGTATTAATGTTTCTGCATATTTAAGTGGTTGCGTTTTTTTTTCAGACACCCTGTACAAGTGAAAGGTATTTATAACATTCGTACGAAGTAGATGTTTTTGGAAATTTGAGAAGATTGCGTTTTTTTACACACTTTGCATTGCCAAATGGCATCCTTACCATTCCAAAACTTCATCGCATTTGTCCTCCAAATTCGGGACAATGATACTTTTCTCATCTTCTGTGCAATAAAGAGGCACACATACGGTATCTTTAATCTTCCGCATGCAATCATTTGACACCAGTGTATTACTGGTGAACTTGTTCGCATATTCCACATATTTCATCGGCTCCTCCAGTTCCTCGGACTTTGCTATATATGCTTTCCAGTACGCGGCAGGCATCTAGAAAAAAAACACAAACCCCGTGCAATTGAGATCTTTCTCATGATGACATCAAGCGCGGAAAGCCTGATGGTACGCCAAGTTTGATTGGTGCAAAGGTCTTTAGGGAACTACATAACTATATTCATCAGCTCGAAAATTCAAATCGAAATGCGAAATATATACAGCGTAGTAAAAGTGGATCGAATAGACAATGTCTGCACTTGTGTAACTACAAGCTACACCCATGTACTATTGACTGAGCATGCCATACAAGATTCGTGTATCAGGCGCTTAATTTAAAAACATAAATTAGAATTCAGTTTCTTTGCAGAGATCAGTGGCTGAAAGTAGATCAATGGGTGTTAGCCTCTGATCTTTTTACCGTAACTGAATACAACCTTTCAATTCTCTTAGAACTCCAAGCGAGATAAGCTTGGAGACAAATAATCGATCATTCTTTTCCACTCTATTGCTGTCGTTGCGATGGAGATGTTAATAAAACAAACAGGAAGTTGAGCAACTTTTAGGCAAATACGTAGATCAACTTAGGTATAGAACTTGAGTCTTGAAGTAATAGTTTATCAACGCATCTATCGCGATTACAGGAAAGTTATTCATTCAAACATAGTCAAGTTTCTTTTGTCTCTCCCGTTTAATATCGACCGCTATAGGCACGAATGAAAAGGCAAAAAATAGGTGCCGAAAAGCTTATTTTGCATATACTATAAGTAAATGACTTTGGTATTCCTTCATTACGTTCGTAAGCATCATACAGCAAGACGTGCATATGGCAGATGGGTGAGAGTCATCCGGGTCAAAACTGGTTTCTTGAATTTGCGCCGTTGCAAAACTGTTTAAGCTCAAAGGCTGTTTTCTACTGTGGAGTTTTGCACGCACGTAAAAGTTTCAAATAATTTAAATGATATACTTATGAAATCAACGGCGATTGAATAGATGCATAGGGTTGGATGCTATTCATGATTCGGTATGTTTATCCTAGCATAGAATTAAATTTACAGCGACGGAGAACATTTTAAGCATTTACGTGCGTGTACGTTTTCAGTCTCTTTTATTCATAGTATATACAAGTTTAATTAAGATTGAGCTAAGATGAACTCAATAATGTCGGATTTTTAAACAAATTCCTGTTGCCTTGAAAGGTATATAATTTATAATCGCAATTTTTTTATCTGAGATCTTAAGATTGGTAATTATATATGCTTTTATTGTTACCAAACCCATACATAAGTTACTCAGATATTTCCTTTTCATAAGCAAGCTATACTGAAAATAATGAATATTGAAATTTCGTACGTACTGTGTAGTAAGCCGCATTATTAATTTTAAACCCAAATTAAACAAATCATACCTTGCCCGAAGGCTTCGGACAATATCCCTTGAACCTTTCGTCCGGGTCATTGGCGACACACGTTAAGTCCGTGAATACGCTTTTGTGCAAGTATTCTACACAACCTTCTTCATATTCGTCAAAGCTGTCTTCCAACAAAAGCGGACAATTTCGACGTAGTTTGCCACAGACCTCTTTAGCGCGGGATTCATCGTTTCCTTCGTAGCAATTTCGGCTGGGATTTGAACAAATCGCCTCCTTCAAGGCATTTGCACAAATGCCCGAATCCTTTACGGTATCTTTCCCCTTTTTGGACAATTTATCTTCTTTGATATCCGCGACAACTTCTATCACGATGGCGTAAAAGTCGTAGTTTTTAGACGTACAGACCTCGTTTTGATCAATAGAGCATAACGAACTCTTCTTGACGTAATACGGCTTTCCTGTTTCGGCTTTGCAAAAGACAAAGAAAACGCACACAAAAGCGAAAGTTACAGACAATGTACTCGTCTCCATGTTTCCTAACTACGAGGGCTAGCTGTTGTGATTCCAGTAAACAGACACTTCACGATGTACACAACTGCGTGTCAAATGGGTTCTGATGGAACATTTGGTGAACGTCAACTACTTAACGAGGGCTCAAACTGACTGTCACATGATTTAAGATCGCTTATACTATCGCGTAACTAATTTGAGAGCTTTTTTCTTTCGATATTTTTTTCTGTCTGTCTTTCAATTGCTTTAAGTATCTGACGCTTTCTGAAACATAATAGTGAACTCTAGATCTTCACACCCTAACTTGGCTAGGTATTCTTTATATGTTGATCTGTGCCCAAAATTTCATTTTCTTTATGTGCGGGCAAAGAAACAGGTGAACGGCTCACAAGACATGCATCACTTGTGACTTGCTGGTTCAAGTGTTATCTTTCCTTTCAGGAAAGCGAGGACGTCGCATCTTCCACTTTCACTGAGTTCCCTGTTTAAATATGTAAGATGCCAAAGAACGTATCTTTTAACGAGCGTCGGTTCGGGCAGTTGGATTCAAACAAAAAACTTTTAATCTCTGAAATGACACGTAAACATTGATTAATGTTTCGGGAAAGATCCCTTAAAACAGTGTGGTGTAAGTTAGTTCATTTTGCTGTAGTGATCAGCGTCAGAAGCATCTTGTTTCATGCCTTGCAGCAATGAATTATAGTCAACAGGAGTATCGGCTAGATTTAGAAACTGCAGAAGATCGTTGTCAAGGTTTTCATGATATTTTCGAGTACAGTTTGGGAGTCGTCCTTATAGCTTAAAAAACACTTGTCTAACGGAACGAAACAATCTGAATATTTTGAATATCTGAATGTCTTGAATATCTGAATATCAGAAGTGTTTCATTCCCCCGACCTTCCTTTTTGTTGACTGTCGACGAGACGAGGACATTAAAGGGTATATTTTTACAAGATTCAGAAGTTGACGATGTTTCTATCAATTCTGAACGGGCTTTCGACGTTTAGGAGGAAATCGATCCTCTAGATTTTGAAAATCTCATTAATCTGCGTCAATGACTTCCTGTACATACACTGTCACTTCCTCATTCTTTAGTCCTGATATCAAGTTTCTTGTGGTTTCTTTGGGAAGGTCGAAAGTGAAACAACGAATACAAAATATTCTAATGTTAAGCGTATGGTTCTGAGCCGAAGACGGCAACCTCGAAGCCACGTTTTTCAACCTACGCTCCAAGGCCAGGCCAAGCGTTCCGAAGACGGTTGCTTCTGCAGTCACGGGCAGCCTGGCAGCCTTAGCTTAAGGTTTGTTCACCCGATCCAATTTCGTCGCATCCAATTCACTTCTGATAGAGATTTTATAGTCTCGACCATCCACTGAAACAAATGCAGCAACTGCATTGTAAATAACAAGCTACATTCCATACGTCAGAAGTGAATTGGATCCGACGAAGTTGGATCGTGTTTGAACGGGCCTTTAGTTTTCTCTAGGTTGTTTTGCCAATTCTGACATTTCTATGATAATCGATCCATTTCATATTTGGATCAGCGTTTTCTGGCATTGCAATCGATGAATCATGCCATGCTAAATGTGAATGTGATTAATGTGTTTGCATTAGCAACGGCGCGCCTTAGCAAACCACAAATCCTATTTAACTTAATATATTAGGCCTTAATGAATATAAATTTAGGAACAAACATTGAAGTGACAGTGGCATTTGGCTGAAAATTCCGGGCCAATATATAAGGCCTTCTGTTATCAAACGGTCGCTTGATTTGAGATTCAAAACTGTAACGACTCATTGCAACGATCTTCATGATTTAATCTTACAAGGTATAAGTGAACTACTGATGCAATCCACCATTAGTTTTAGCGTCATGTCCCATTCAAAAAACTTTGTCAGTTATCAGCAGGAAGAATGCCATATCATGTTTCCCTTATCATAGCGGACACGAGATTACCTCCGAAGGTTTATTTATTGAAGTTAATTCCCCTTAATTCATTTATTATTGTTTCCTGAATTGAAGCCCATTAAATTGTTGTGCAAACTGGACTTGGCAAAATGGTCTTCGCTATATTAAATATGATTGCTTTGTTATGCGTAATCGTCGAGATTGGCAGATTCTAAGCCCGTGTCAAGGTAGATATGAGCAAAAACAATCAATTGCTTACGCGCGGAGTCATTGCTGTCCCTTAAATAAACTGAAGAAACCCCATTGGCGCCAGAATTTCCAGAACCTGTCAGTTTGACATAAGTGTATATACATTACATAAGGACATAAAGTAGCATTTCACCCAAGCCAGACAAAGTTTTTATCCGAAGTTTTTATCTGTTCGTCTTTTTTGAATGCTTAGAAAGAACCGAGACAAAGATATATTCACAATTTCCACTAAGACTATACTTTCAATAAGTTGAATAACATCAATAATCATCCAAATTTTTCAGACTGAAATTGAAATCACTTTTAACTGCATACAGTCCACGGTGGACAAGTATTAGTGGAAATATCTTTCCGCACGATCAAAAATCTTATACTTTCGGATTAACAGTCCTCTTATAGATAAATAAGGAGCATAAAACAAATTCTGCGTTTTACAATTACCTATTTCCCAACATTTCGTCCATTTCGATTAATGTGCTCTATTGTAATGATGATAATACTAAGATAAAATCCATTGATTTAAGTAAAAACTTGCACAGATGAATTGGCCTTGCTGCAATATACACTTACGTCAGAATGTAAAAATATTTACGAAATTGATTAATTTTGACTAAAGTGAATAAACTTGCATTAATGTGAAAGTGTAAATCGTGAGAAGAGTTGGCGTTTTGGGACGGAAAGTGCACAATTGATTCTGAGCCCGCCTCACGAGGAAATTGGTTTGGATTAAGTGTTTATCACACCTTATTAACACAAAAATAATCACAAAACAACAATATGATTAATTAGCAAATATTACAGCCCACCACAGCAAGCCTTGAAAACACAAAGCAATCGGGGGTGTAATAAAACGTGGAGTTCAGGTGAACTCGCATACTGGTGGTGAATTGTAGGGCTGAGATCCATGGCTGTCAGGACTGGAAATCCTTTTGGATATGTAATATGTTTCCATTGAGCCCAAAATAGAAATCCCAAAATAGTAATCCCTCAGGATCAATGTTTTAATGGACCTATAAACGAAAGTTCTAAAAGGCCAGCATTCGATTGAAATCATATGTAGACTGTAGTTATGTAGTGCGCATTCATTACGTAAGTCTACTATGTGGTATCGTGTCCTTAAATGCTTTAATCGGTGACTGCGGACTTCGGGAATATACTCCAGTTTTCTCATCTAAAACCTTGAGCGAGCAATGAAGCAAAACGCATCAGTCAATTTCTTAATGGTGTTTACTCAACAATCACTTGCGAGGATAACTATATTAATTGATGCTGAAAAGATTGTGTTTGTATTCTTTGCGACGATTGAAATACGGACTCATTGGAAACAGAAAGGATCTCGAACTGGCATGAACTCTATCGAGTATCGTTCGTAAAACTACGAGCACGAGTGACGACTAAAACTTAATCATCTGTAAACATTGGAATGCCCAAACACGATTTCAGATTTAATGAAAAGACTGAATCATCTTGTTACACTTTTGCTGACATTTTTCATGTTGTTTTTAAAGTTTAAATTCAACAAACTAACTAACCATACCTTTCTTAGAATACTATAAAATGGTTCTTTAACTGCATTAGTTATTTCAAAGCCCAACATCTCAATGTTACGATTAAAAGAACTTCAATCATCAGACACTTCTTCTGGGTTCTCACTTCTGACGATGGCTTCTAAGTCAAAACATGGACGGATGTCGTGGCTTAGAACTTAATTGATGGAGCCATTCCACTTCTAGATATTTGAACACACTCCAACACTGCCTGGTTTGAATCACAATAACAGTCTATTTCTGGGAATATTTCCTAAAAGCTAGTAAAATTTTATCTTCAAAATCCATGTGAGATCCCCGTGATAGCAAGGCAAAACATTTGTTCCGGCCGGATGTTTCCACATTCCTGAATCCGTTTCCATTCCACGTTTAACAACGTCTCATCGCTTATTCAATTCCGAATGCGTAAATGCGAAAGATCCTGACATGGGTCACATAGCGTAGGCCGTTGTCATATAGCACAAGATTGCATTGAAGGATCGTCAGAATGAACAGTGGATGTTTTGGACGCCTTGGCGGCATGGATCAACAACAGCAATGGCACAGCTATACGCCATACTTTTACCCAAATCCTGGTCATCCACTAGCGGCGATGTATTCTCGGCCTCCAATGGTACCAATGTTTTTGCCTTATGTTCAGCAGTCCGACTCTGTACCGCTGCCAAAGACGTCGAAGTCGTTTGGTATCGAAGATATATTGAGAAGACCTCATCCTTCTACGTGTTTAGGGGGAAGCCGTCCTTATGTCTCGGGATTAGCCAACTCTGAAATGATGGGACGATGGGACTACAGAATTGCTCAGACACCGTACCAATGGGAGAGAGGCATGTGGCATTCTGCTTTATCTGAGAGGTTTAACAGTAAGTACAAATTTTTCAAACTAATTCATATCGCAAATTGCTGCTACTTTATGAAGATTGACTCCTATAAGCAAATACGTTATTCAATATCAGGGATTAACAGATGACTAAAGAGTAAAGAATTTTAGTTGTGAATATCCCATGAAAATTGGCACTCTTGTGACTGTTTTTTTTTGGTCGGATTATGTTATTTTCCATCCTACAATCACATTTCCTAAACACGAGGTTATAATAAGAAGTAGGTTTGAGCGAGTATTTCAAACATGTGATTGTAATAGGACCAGTAGACTAACGGCTGCCAAGAAACGCCAGCCAACGCTCTCCCAAAAGGCTGTTTAGAAAACTACATTTCTGAATAGCATTGTTGCTGATAAATTTGGTAGTTCTATCTTATCCTTGTTGACTTGTTCATCTTTAACAAAAGCTAATGCGAATAGTTTAAATGAGTGAGTCGACACGGCCTAGAATGAGTCAGCTTATTTGGTAAACTTGCAAGTTTACCATGGTCAGTTGATTTGAATCGTTGAGAAGAGAAAATGTTTTGAATGTATTATACCTGGCAAGTGGGCTGGGGTTTATTTTTGAACAACAATAGATTACACATCTTCTATTCAATACCTTGCTACTGTTTAGAAAGATAAACTTCAATATGTGGGTAAATTCTTTGTTTAAAAGATGCCGATTCGACCGCAAAAACGTAAACACGAAATATCACCGGATATGCTGTAAAAACCGCCACAATTCTGCCGAAAGATGAAAAAGTCAAAGTCGACATAGTTCGTTTTCACCTTTGAAACTCTCAAAAGTCGTAGTTGTAAATAATACGACAACCATTTATCCATTTAGTTCCATTCTGCAGTTGGCCCAAATGAGACGTGCATGAAAGTAGTGGTAGTATATGCTGTGGAATTCACGATTTCAACTTTTCAAACGAGTTGTATGTTCGCGTGAGCCCATAAGACTAATGTTGACTGACAGTAATTTTTGCCACACGCATTTTAAATTGGCCAAAAACGTTTCACGTTACCGTTGTTTACCCCAGAATGCGGACAATTTTGAATCAAAAAGTGAGTTAGAAGTATTTTGGCATCTTTCTCGTACAAATCTACACAAATTAAAATAACACAACAGAAATTGCGTTGGCAGTTTTGGTAAAAAAGGAACGAACTTTAGCTACCAGCCAGAAGGCAAGCCTGCATAACTGACCTTAGGACTAAGCAATAATGGTGGAGCATATCCGTCTAACGAATGCGGAACGAAATGATTTGGAAGCAAGAAAAAGTAATTATACAATAATACTTAGACATATTCCATTCTGTATGAACTTTGACGGACGTTTAATCGGCTATTAGGATTGAGTTGCTTTTTAATTAATTTGCGTGTACATCCAACCCACTCTGGTGTTTACATGTTAAATCTCTTGCCATTCAATAGAAGGTCACTTTTAATGGCATCTGTCACGGACGCTAACGAGCTTAATCGCATGATTTTACAAAAGATGCAAAAGGCATTCGACCACACGTGGCTATAAATATGCCCAGCTAAACGATTGAGACATTTAGAGGATGTTCGGCGAAATTAATGTACACTTCTTATAATGATGCTATTTCGGTATGTTTGCAAAGCTTTGTACTTCATTTTAAATGATGATACTCTTACGTAATTGTCTTAATTGCGCCACAGTTGACAATTTGTTTGCCACGGGTGGAGTCGATCTATTTTGACTTCAAGTCGAGCATTTTGGCTGGTAGTTTTTGTTTTTGAAATCTAGGACTCTATCAGTTTGGAACTAACTGCAAGCTTTCTCAGGCGAAGAGCGTTTGGTTGAAGTGTTTAAATTCTTCAGGACAAAAATTTTGGCTGATATTTTTTGTTTGCAGTCTAGGACTCTATCATAGGAACTATAACTACAAGCTTTCTAAGGTGAAGAGCGTTTGATAGAAGTGTTTAAATTCTTCCAGACGTGTACTTTTGGCTAGTATTTTTTGTTTGCAATCTTTAACTCTGTCATAATGAGTATAAGTACAAACTTTCTTAAGTATTAAGCTATGCTATAGTATTATTACTAGTATGTATTATAACCTGCGATATTCATGACAATACTCAATAAAAAGGACAATGGACATGCACTGGCTTACTTTCCTCCTATAATACATCCTTCAAACGATCAAATTAAATTTCTTTTCCTTTCTAGGTTCCAGTCCTACGGACCATGATTCTTATACGGCCGACAAGGACTTACTGCGACGGCGCAACACGAGGCCCACGTTCAGCGGTCGTCAGGTTTACCTTTTGGAGAAAACATTTCAACAAACAAAGTACCTTGCCGGACCCGAGAGAGCACAACTCGCGTACACGCTGCGCATGTCTGAAAGTCAAGTGAAAGTCTGGTTCCAAAACCGCAGAACGAAATGGCGAAAATTGAATTGCGCTGCTCCAAAAATCTCAGAAGAAGAACCACAGGAAGAGTCAAGCTCTCAGACGGAAAAACAAAAAGATGACAGCGAGGTTGACAGGGATTAAAGAACGAGATTCAAAGAACGAGATTCAAAGAACGAGAACTACAGCCAATGTAATAGAGAATGTAAATCTATAGGAAAGGTTTTCACCTGACAAACAGGATATCGAATCCCGGTGGGAAATGTACATAAATGACTTTAACTTTTCAATAACTTGTCAAAGACTGAGTTATATAGTCCTTCCCTAGACGTAGTACAATGTCAAATCTCTGCAGGCAAGATGCTATGAACTGACAGGAAATGTATAGAGGCTGGACACATCAGGTTTTAATCTACAGGAACAGCTGTACATGATGCGACGGAAACTGGCAACGAAGCTTTGTGGAAAGCATTTCACTTCGTTGGAAAACTAATTGTAATAGCTTAATGTTTACCTGTAATTAATAATCGCCAATGCGCGACGAACGGTCTTTTTGTCAATAATGAAAAATATATTAAACCATCCTTACACAAACAATGAAGCGTTTAGCATTCTAATGCAATTAAGTCTTTACGTAGGTCACAAAAAAGGTATATTTATCGTCGAATATTTAGAAAAGAAATTTTCATTTTTTCTAGGCGAACAGTGCCCTGATGCAAAACTTTGATTATACAGCCTACGTACCACTCTTTTATTTCAGCTCATTTTAACTTAAACCAGTTTTAGGTTTAAACTCTAGTTAAAAGCTAATTGTACGCAAAAATACCCACTTTTAACAGTGCGAACTCAAAAAACCCATCTTAAATTTTGTTGCAAATTTTTTTTATTGAACGAATTGCCTAAAGGCGTTGGCTGTAGTCTATGTTGCCTGAAGGGCAGATGCAAAAATATAGAAATGGTTGTGGCCATAATCTTGACTACTCACGACCATGCAAATAACGGAGTTTGCTCTCTCTTGCGAGATGGAAAGGGAAATGTGGTTACATCTCATTACATCTCATCAAAATTAGGAGGAATATTGATAGTGACCGTACTGATCGACGTGGTAGTGCATGGCGTTATTTAAGAGTATTGGTAACGAAGATTCATTGAAACCATTCAAAGCAAAGGGAATTTAATAATTTTATAATAATGATCATACAATTTCAAACCAATTTTGTTCCAAAAATAATATATGATATCTTAATTTTAAAGTAAACAATGATAATAGTGAACAATGTTTTGTCAATGAAGATATATTGAAAAATTCATAAAACAAACCCAGCATTAAGGTGCAAGCTTTAATGCAATTAAATCTACGTGCATGGGGTACAAAAATGTGTACTTATTGAAGGGTTTTCAGCGCAGTTCTAGAAGTACTTTTTCGACAAAGGAGGATGCAAGAGATAAACTTGTCTGCTAGTTTTTTCGTTGTGATTTTTTTTCACAAATGGTGCTCGGGTGAGTAACTTTGATTGTACATCAATAGTTAACAGTTCTGGTTGAACTTTTACTACAACTGAACGATTGTATACATTTTGGTTTAAAATTATATCTTTCAATACTTTCATCACGTTTAAAAATACTGATCAACCACCTACAATAATACACACTGTTTTAGAAACCCTATCTTGAAATATGGTTGTAAACCATTTTCTTATTTCATTAATTGTAGAGGCTACTTTGGTATCGTACACAGTGCGACAAATATGGAATAAGTTGTGACCGAAATGAAGACTGCTTTTGTCGAAATAAACATCTCGAATGTAGATACGTGAGGCAAAAGGGAAGGAAGGAATGTATGAGAATGAGTTATGGTAGGTTAGGTCATCCTCCTGTAACAAGTTATCATCAAAAGTGCCACAATTTTCAACGTCCATGTCACCATGACAACGACTGCAAATGCGAATACAACAAGAACCTACGCTGCAGGCAGACACTGAATACTGGGAGGTTATGTCTTGATGTAAAGGACGAGTTTCCCGTGTGGTACCGGACCTCGCCAACTGCCACTGCCCAGCTATCTACTACCCCCACCTCAACGACTAACCCCACCTCAACTACTACCTCCACCCATACGGAACACGGGGAATGTGAACAACTTTACGAAATTTGTGAAGAAGATAGTGATTGCTTTTGCGAGCACTTGGTTAAATTGAAGTGTGTTCATGTTCCTGGTATCGGGGTAAATCGATGTATGGAACCGGGTGAATGGATCCCAACCGAGCACCCACCTACAACACGCCGAGCCCACGTGTACACCACCAGAAGCCTCACCACACCCGAGAGCGAGACACAAAAAGAGAAAGAGGCCTACATCTCATTCACTTCTATCGTGGAGGTAAAGATTGACATCCCTGTTCAATCAATTCATGAAATTATTGAAGAACTGGAGGAGAAGGAACACGTAGAATAGTTTTATAAGACAACCATTCGTTTGACACGTAAATTCACATATCTAAAGTTATGAATGTAACGAAGTAGTTTTGTAGACGTATACAAGAGAAGTAAAATGGCACAAACATAAACCTCAGCTAAATTGTTTTATTTCAGATGTTCTCTCAAAAATGGACCTGCTCATCGGACAGTCTTTAGCACTTTGCATGAAATTAAATTAATTATTTAAAAATTAACTATCCTATCTAAAATTGCATTCCTGAAAGTTGCCAATCGTACCAACGAGAGTGGAACGATCTTCAAACGGACCGAAACGGTCCTCTCCGAACTCCTGACGTAGTTGAATTTCAATTTCCTCCATAATGTACATTTGACCTATTTCATAACATCTAAAAATTGAATAATTTTCATGACATTTTGCAAATCTTGTTAGAAATCGCTTTTCTGTCATAATTTAAGTGTCTAGTCGTAATTTGTTTAACGTTTTCCGCTTTTGAGATGAGTCGTGTGTAAAATTCCGCTTCAAAGCTAAGCTGGCTAATTGACGAACAAAAAATGAGCGCCATATATTACGGTTGTTGGGAACGTTGAAATTGTGCCAACCACGGACTGAAGAAACATAATTTGTTTCACAGCTGCGATTGAACATACAGTGTAGATATCCAATTAACTGAATTTAAAGACGTTAAAAATACTTACCCGACTTTACCTGCAATAATTTCTAATTAACATCGCAAGCAGGAAATAGGTTTACGTCAGCTGTGCTTTTGTGCCATTTTTCATCGGCTACTTAAATTGTGCTCCTGTAAAGAGTAAGAAAGAAACGAGAAAATATTGTTAAGATCCTGAAAAAGGAACCCAAAGATCATACCAGGAAAATCGTATCGACGTTTTCTGGAAAATCTCCTCCATTTTCTGAGGAATTGTTTTCCTAACGAAATATTTGCATATATTTTTTAACAGTATAAATTAGTTTAACTTGAAAGTTCTCAATACAAAAGTCAGCGAACCATTTCTCTGCAAATGGAAAGCCAGCTTTGCGATCATGTAAAGCAAAGGCATCGAGTGTAATGGTCTTCCTTCAGTGATTCCTGGGAAATGATCTTTAATGTCTTAACTCTTCGATCCTTGATATCTCATGATTGTGAAACGATCATTAAATACTATAGACTACAAGACATATGTTAAAAGATCTTTATACATATCAGATAACTCGTTTTTGAAAAAATCATTGCTGTTCAGTGTGGTCGATTCATTCAGAAAACAAGATATTTTGTTTATTTGCCTTTGAATGACTGGACTAGGGCGTCCGGCTTTTTGCAAAGTATATTCCTAACGCGACATTGAAGTATATATATTATATGCATGCGGCTTTCAGTCGTGAATTGCATTTCGGCTTGCGGTCCTTTTGCCAAAGGCACTTCAATATGTGAGATATTGCATGTCGTCCTCTTCAACAAAAATGCATTTCTCTTGAGTGCATACTTCAAACAAGTTATAGCAATCCAATTTTAGGCCTATCCATTTCAGGAAGATAGCTCTTTAGGGGGAGGAAAAGCCGACAGCCTATGCCATGGTCAGTCTTTAAATCTTTATTAAATTATTTGGACACGTAACTGCGCTTTGGACTCGTCATAATAATGGTATGCAAGAGCTGAAGTAGGCGTGAAGAATGATCTCTCCACTTTTAGTACCGTGGGGCTATTTCTGGACTCGTATGCACATACTTGTTGTGAATCGAGCATTAATTTTGCTAAGGAGTTGTTGAATTATGCTTAGTCAATCTTTGCATTCGTTGGCCAAGATGTTTTATTAAGCATTTTTTTTCCACGGGAGTTGGCTCGCAAACACAACTTCGACGTCATTGATATAGTGATGGTTGGCTTGAAAAATTTAACATTCTCATGACACCAGTCAACCTCGCACTGGTCATCAATTTGACCTTCGTTTCGGGCGGACAAATTTGCCTATTCGAAAGCGGTTTTATTTTGCATCTAACATGCTTCGCGTGACGCTCAGTTCTAACCATACTTGATGCTTTTGTTTACAATCTATTTCGCATTAATTAATCCACTTTGGTGTAGAGTAGGTTGGGCTTTGACTTGGTAAAAAAGGCATGTGAAATACTCAGTGTTGTGGCGATATAAAAAGACCACGAAGTCGGTAGAGGTGAATACAAAGCACTGTGACTGCAAGATTCTCTTGAAACGAAGCTAAAGCTACGGACAACTTATTTACGTTAGCTGCAAACTTGCTGTAAATAAATTTAAACAAATTTTCTAGCCGAAAAACATTTTCGTGACTCAAATCAGACCGACTCCTATAAACAGCTCTTGTGTGCTCCTTTTGAAAACCAATTACAAAACATCTTCAATTTAGGTACGTACTTACACTTAATACAACGAGCAATACAAATATTGAGTGATATTATAAATTGTTACTTCCTTTCGGCAGCTATTCTCAGCAGAATCCAATAAGTGATTAGTCGGGACTTCGCATCTTGAGCACAGCAATTGCCGTGTACTGACAACCATAACTTTACCTCATCAATGCTGACAGTGCAGCGTCTCAATCGATGCACTAATTAGCAAATCATACTTCTCCCTTCGGGTCACATGATTTCACAGCAGATCTGGTCGCATACTTCACATAGGCAGACTACCAAATTCACGTTTTTTGATAGTTCTTGTGCTTGTAAACGCCGGGAATCAAAATTCCATTCGGAAACCTAAACGATGAATTCGGAACAACCATTGAAATTTTGATGAGGTCGAAATTGGATGTGTTTATAATCATGCAAGTCATTGAGAAGCTTTCAGAATCTTCCGTACCGATGTCAATAAAGCTCCACATGCTTATATTTGATGAATTTGGCCTTGACTTCTTCTATGTGAATTAAAAATAAGACGATTATTTTTAAACTCGAAAGTCTGGAAGAATAATCGACAATTTCTACGAAAAACGAGCGACATTGGTGAAAATTAACATTCAA